TTGTTTTGTATATTAGGAATGATAGACAGAAATATGTAAATTCAGAGAAGAAGACAGTTTCAATGAAAAATGAAAGAGTTGGAGTGAAAGGAAAGAACAATATAGACCAGAAGAGTGGAACATTACGTAGCTAGATTTAAACATTATGATTGATAAAATTGAAGAGATTGTACAAAATATAAAGTCAGCTTAAAATTTGGGCGATGAATGATTAAAAAAGCATTATAAAAGACGTGTCAAATTATGCTTCACAATTAATATTAAAATCAAATCCCAGTTCATTTCTAATAGCTTCAATCCAGTCCTCACCTAAAGCTATTGCTGCATCAGCACAACTGCCTCTTACATCAATGAATGCATCTAAGAACTTTTGACAGTGCTCCTGCACTTGACGTAACTTCCTTTTAAAACTAAGACTAGCCTTGAACTCTGTAATAAATCCTTCCATTGAGCAAGTATCTCTAACTTTTTCACTAATGAGGCGAACAGCATATAATTTATTGGCAAGATCTGAGACAGAATCCTTAGGTAGAGAAGTGAGATCATCATAATGAGATACAATGGCATCATTAATGATTTTCTTAACTTTCTTAACGTCAACAGTAATTGGTGCACCTAAAATAGGTTCAAGGTCATGCAGTATATATTTCATTATTTTTACTTACTAGCTCCTCCAGTGGAAGATGCAATAACTTTAGTAATTGTATTAGAAGAGGAGGTAGTACAATCTGATTAATATTACATAAATAAACAATTGAAATGATATATCTATTACTTGCTAAAGGAGGAACAGGAACAGTGAAATTTCTTCGTGCTCTATGAATATTTAATGAAACTGGACGAGCCACACCTTCCAGTGGTATGAAGTAATTAAGAAAAGGGACAGCATCAGGTGATCCGTAAACTGATATGAGACAACATGAAGGACGAGAATGCTCTTTATCACCAAATTTATCAATGGCCTCTTGATATAACTGTAACACAATATAGCTTAAGCTTAGTATTATAAAAAAACGCTTAGCTTACTCTGCAAGGATCAGTGTGAGGAGTGAGTGTCCATCCAGTGAATGGTTTCTTTTGAGGTGCATCAAAGTTTAATTCAACATAATCATAATAAGAAGGCTTGAAACTAAAGGAAATATCTGGTCCAGTCCTAGCCTGAGAGTGTTTCCGCTCAATAAACTATCAAATAATAACAATAAACACATTGTGTGTATAGGAACACATTGTTACATGAATGAGTGTTTCCAAATTCTTAGCTGCAGTAAATGTCACCAAATCTTCTACACCATCTTCTTCATAATAAACTAGACCAGCATATGTTACAGCTTTCCTTACACCAGTGGACTGTACTTCTAATAAATAAATAAACACAATATTATTAGTAATAGTAGAGCATGTACATGTACTTACTGTTAACATGATCACTGTTTGGTGTAGTAGTAGGACCAGCAACAGACACTGTATTGGTTGGGAGGTTAGTTTCTTTAGTAGTAGACTCTATTCAGTAGTGGAATACATTGCATTATCATCAATAGACTCACTAACTAACCTTTACATGCTCCACTAGCCCCTGGTGGAGTACTGTTGGTATCATCATCATCACTGTCACTACCCTCTCCTCCCTCTTTGTCTCCTTCCTCCTCCTCATTCTCCTCTTGTTGTGGTTGCTGTTCCTCCTCTCCTTCCTCTGTGTCTCCATTAGTCCATTCTTCCCCCAGTATACAGATCAAACAGAACTTGTTACGTTGAATGGATCCATACCCACTATTAGAGCTAAACTCTCCTCCCTTGACTATTAAAAACTGGTAAGGAAGACTGGGTGTGCTCACGGGAGCTATAGCAAACTTCAAGTATTGTGCAAGATCTGGTCGTCCTGTTAAATCAATGCAGTGCTGTATCTCTAACTTGAGTCGTTTGAGGAGAGGCTTTGAGAGTGATACTGCATACACAGCACTCACTAGGACAGTATTAGGAGGAAACTCGAACTGTCCTCCTACAAGAGCAACCACTGCTGCTTCTACTGTCTCGGAGGACAATAGGCTTCCTTCTTGTACTCCGATCCTTAGACCATATTTCTCCCAATTCATCAGTTGAGGTTCGTCTCCTTGAATTAAGAACAGCTTCTTCTCTGCTACCTGGACATCACTCAGACATTCCAAATTATCTATC